ATGAGGCATGCATGTGTGCTCCATGCAGGTCCCTCAGTCTGGGTCTCCAGGTGCATGCATGTGTTCCATATGTCTGTGTGCATCTGGGCACATGTGAGCATTCATCTGTCTTGGCGTGTGTGACATGTGTAGGCTCAGCCTCATATGACATGCACAGAGACATGCCTACTGGAATCAGCTCCCTGAGGACCAGAACATTTTGTCTTGTTTCGTGCTCCGTCCCCAGCACCTAGAACACAGGAGGGTTCATGCAGAATGAAGGAATGTATGGAAGAAAGTGTGTGTGTGTGTGTGTGTGTGTGTGTGTGTGCAGGCCTGCTGTGTTTCCATGTGCCACCATGTGTGTGGACGTGTGCATGCCCCTGTGTCCAAAGGCACACCTGGGTGTGGGCGACAGTACTCCCACACCACCCCTCCTGACCCTTTTCCAAACCCTTGGGAGCCAGGGCCCAATGCCTGGGTCCCCGTGGGCGGAGCAGGGGGCCGCCTCCTCAGGAGAAACTGGATCCCAGGACGTGCTGAGCAGCAGGGAGCAGGGCGGCCCCTTTGTCCCCCATAATCCCCTCCCCGCCCTTGCCCCCTCCCTCCTAGCCACCAGTGTTTAAGGTTGAGTTTGGGGGCTAGAAGGGGCTAAGGTGTTACCTTAGCGACCCCTGCCCTGCCTTGGGGGCTTCCACTTGACCTAGAATGTATGCCCTTGTCTGAGTCCCTCCCAACCTCTCCCTGTCCTGTCCCCTGGCTGGATCTGCCTTATTCTTTGCCAGGACCCCGTCCACTGCCCGCCCTCCTTTCCTTAGGCGTTGCTCCTTCCCTCCCTCCTGGGCGGCTCCAGGGCTCAGTCCTCTATAAAGCCACCTGAGGGACAGAAGGACAATGCCTGGAAGGACCCAGAGACTGCAGAGGAAGGAGCCAAGGAAAGAGCATGAGCTGTCCCCTGGGTGAGTGAGGGGAGGGGGCTCCAAGGGCCCGGAGGCCAGCATAGGGGCCATCTCTGACGACTGTGTACCTGCTGAAAGAAGGCTTACACGTAGAAGGCTTCATTCATGGCGTGCCTATTGTGTGCTAGTGCAGACAGCCTTTGGCATGCAGAGTCAGTTCCGTGATATTCCCTCCACCTGACGAATATCAAACTCTGCAGATGCTCAGGGCATTCTGGCACTTGGAGCAATGGCAACGGACAGACAGATGAAAATGTATGGTCTGATGGCAATTTCCTTGTGCAGACACATGATACAGGCAATAAATAAGTATATCAGGATGCCAGTTTGATAGTAGGTGAGCTCACCAAGGTTTGTGAAGTGAATGAATGAACACGCTTTCACTTACAGCCTTCTCTTAGTTGGTTGGGAACTTCCGGGGACTCGGTAGCATGGAGGAGTTAAGGAGGGCATCCCAGGTTTGCTATCACTTCCTGGTTGGTGACAGGTAATTCTGCTGCTCTCTGAGCTTGACACTGTTGGTGGGCACTTAAACTGGGTCAGACCTTTGACAGGACAATGTAGCAGCATGTTTTCAAATTGAAAATAAGCATACCCTTTGATCTAAGATGTTCCCACTGTCTTTTCTTTTCATTTTTGACAGTACTGGGTTTGAACTCAGGGCCTCAGGCTTGCTAGGCACGTGCTCTATCACTTGAGCCATGCCCCCGGCCTTTTTAACTTTAAATTTTCAAGTAGGGTCTTGTTTTACACCAGGGCCACAATGGACCACAACCTTCCTATTTATGCTTCTTGCATAGCTGGGATGACAGGCACACACCACAAGGCCCAGGTCAATAAAAGCTGAGATGAGGTCTTTTTTTTTTTTTTTTTTTTTTTTTGCTAATTAGGGTTTGAACTCATGACCTCCACTTTGAGCCACTCCATCAGCCCTTTTTTGTGATGGATTTTTTCAAGATAGGGTCTCACAAACTATTTGCTGGGCTGTCTTCGAACCTCAACCCTCCTTATCTCTGCCTTCTGAGTAGCTAGGATTACAGATGTGAGCCACACCTGGTTTCAGATGTTCCCACTTTCAAAACTGCATGCTTCTCATCACAGCTACTTGGGAGGTGTAAGTAAGAGGGTAAGAGTACAGGCCAGCCAGACCCTACCTGAAAAATGACTAAAGCAAAAGAGGCGGACATGGGTCAAGTGGCAGAGCATTTGCCAAGCAAGGCAAGACCTTGAGTTCAAACCCCAGTACCACCAAAAAACAAAAATGAACAAACAAAAGCTCAAATTCTAGCTGGGTGCCGGTGGCTCACGCCTGTAATCTTAGCTACTCAGGAGGCAGAGATCAGGAGGATCATGGTTTGAAGCCAGCCCTGGGCAAATAGCTCCAGAGATACTATCTCAAAAATACCCAACACACACACACACACACACACACACACACACACACACACACACACACACACAAAGGGCTGGCAGAGTGGCTCAAGTTGTAGAACACCTGCCTAGCAAGTGTGAGATCCTGAGTTCAAATCCCAGTACCATCAAAAAAAAAAACCCCAAAAGCAACAACAACAACAACAAATCCTCAAATTATACTCCAAAGAGGCAGTCTTCACTCATTCATTCAACAAACATTTATTAGGGGAAACCATCAATGAATGAACCAGGTAAGGTCTCCTCTTTCCTGGAGCTGACATACTGGTGGGAGAAAAAACAACAAGCAAGTAAACAAATAAATGAGGTGATTTCAGGTAACACATCTCTGAAGACCATAATTCAGGGAGAGGGAGAGACTTTGGAGATGATGGCCAGGCTAGCTTAGTTTAGCTGGGGTCTGAGGAACAGGAAAGAAGCAGAACTGAAAGGGTTTGGGAGTAAGGGAGTCCGACAGGGCACAGCAGGATGAAGGCCTAAGGCAGAATGTAAATAAGGCCAGTGTTGGGCTGGGTGTGCTGATACACACTTATAATCCCAGCAGAACTTGGGAGGCTGAGGCAGGAGGATCAAGAGTTTGAGGCTAGTCTGAGCTACACTATGAGTCTATGTCTTAAGTAACCTTTTCAGGCCACACAGAGGACTTTGGCTTTTACTCTGAGTGCAGGGGAGACATGGGTATGCCTGAGCAAGGAAAAACACACTTAGAGAAAGTACACTGAGCAGGGGAAGGCCAGAGGGAAGAGAGACCAGGGAGGAGGCGAGGAGTGATAGGAGCTTGAACTGAGGTGGTAATGCAGTGGGGGGGAAGGGGGTTGTAGTCAGTGGTGTGGCTCCGTCTTTTTGTCTTTTGAAAGTTTTTATTGAAAGTAACAAATAAAACTGGGACCAGTGGCTCACACCTGTAATCCCAGCTACTCAGGAGGCAGAGATCAGGTGATCGTGGTTTGGAGCCAACCTGGGCAAATAGTTTGAGAGACCCTATCTCGAAAAACCCTTCACAAAAAAGGGCTGATGGAGTTGCTCAAGGTACAGGCCCTTGAGCCACACCTTGAAAGTACCAAATATACAGAAAAGTGCACAAGTCATAAGTATACAGCTCAATGAATTTTCACATAGTGAATATAGCCTTCTAACCAGTGTTTACTTCAACAAGCCCTTGCACTGCTCTTGCTTTATATACTGAAGTTGGAGTATACAGAGATTAGCAGGCCCCTGTGCTAGTATGACACATAAATTTGTAAAGTATTTCTTTTTCCCCCCCTGGGTACTGGGGTTTGAACTCAGGGCCTGTGCTTGCTAGGCAGGCCCTCTGGCACTCAGCCCTTTTTGCTTTAGCTATTTTTCAGGTAGGATCTCAAGTTTTGCCCTGGCTGGCCTTGGACTGCGATCCTTCAACCCACGTGACTGTGATTACAAACGTATACCACCTCACCTGGCTTTTTGGTTGAGATAGAGTTTTGATAACTTTTTGCCTGAGCTGGCTTTGAACTTTGATCCCCCTGATTTCTACCTCTCAAGTGTCTATATTTTAAAAAAGAAACCTGCCTTGGCTACCTTTTAAAGATGGAGCTGGCAGGATATACAGTGAGGATGGATGGTAGAGTAAGAAAAAATTAGGTCTTCAAGAGGATCCCAGAGTTTGGGCCTTAGTAACTGGAAGAGTACTGGAGGAGGAGAAACCCAGAGTAGAAGACTGGGTATTTTGAGTTTAAGATGCTTACTAAGGTCCAAGTGAAAATGTCAAGGAGGAGCCAGGTGCTGGTGGCCCATGCTTGTAATCCTAGCTACTTGGGAGACTGAGATAAGGAGAATTGAAGTTTGAGGCCAGCCTGGGCAAACAGTTCTTGAGACCTCATCTCCAAAATCATCAGAAGAAAATGGACTGGTGTGGTTCAAACAGTAGAGTGCCTGCTTTGCAAGTTAGAAGCTTTGCAAGTTCAAACCCCAGACCCACCAAAAAGAAAAGAAGAGAAGAGAAAAGGACTGGAGGAGTGGCTCAAGTGGTAGAATACCTACCTAACAAGTAGGAGGCCCTTAGTTCAAACTCCAGTGCTGCCAAGAAAAGAAAAAAGAAAATGTCAAGAAGGAAGTTGGATGTATGGGTCTGGAGTTCAAGGGAAGTTCAAGTGGAGCTCTGAGCTGGAAATAATCTATGCATTGGGTGATTCGGCCCTGACTTGGATATACAAGATAATTGCAGGTCACAAGGGCTGTATTTTCCCCCCAGTACAATGGATTGAACCAGGACCTTGCCAGGCCAGGCAAACACTCTATCATTTGAGCTACATTGTCAGCCCTTATTCCTGGATTTATTACACACAGTTTTGACCAAGTGTGGTAAATAAATAAATATCAAAAGAAAATGTACAGGTTAAAAACTAACTTTCCTCGAGCACATTCCACAGCTCAGTGGATTCAGAGAAGGTATCAGTCAGTCCTGTGTTATATTCAGTTGTGTTTAATCACTGTGTGATCTGCTGAGTGTTTCTCTACCCCTTAAAAATTGTGACAATCTGCTTCCCAAAAAAGGCAAATGGTGCCCCAAAAGCAAAGTAAAAGTGACTGTGCTTAATTGAAGTGAAAAAGTGAAAATCTGAGACTTGTTGAAGGGTGGCAAGTCTTCAGCGGATGTCGGGTCACGCTACGGGAAAAATGAATCAAGCATCGCAGTGCAGCACCGGACTCTGCATCCTGAGTATGTGTGGTTTTCCAAGACAGAGCACTCATTGGAAGCAGATACCTGAGGGGACCAAGGGTCTCTCTATTTTTATTTTTTTGTATTTTTGGTGGGATTGGAGTTTGAACTCAGGTCTTTACACTTGCAAAACAGGTGCTCCACCACTTCAGCCACACCTTCGGTTCATTTTGCTGTAGTTATTTTGGAGATGAGTTCTCAAGAACTATTTGCCCATGCTGGCCTCGAATGGCAATCCTTCCCATCAGTGCCTGGCTGTATTTTTTTCCTTTTTTCAGTACTGGGGTTTGAACTCATGGCCTACATCTTCAGCTACTCCACCAGCCCATTTTTTGTGATGGGTTTTTTTGAGATAGGGTGTCACAAACTATTTGCCTGGGCTTGCTCTGAACCACAATCCTGAGTAGCTAGGATTATAGGAACTAGCCTCTGGTGCCCTGTTGTAGTTTGTTTTTGACACAGTGTCTCACCATGTACTGCAAGCTGGCCTCCTTCTATTTCCTGGGCAGCTGGGATTCTAGGTGTGCACTATATTGCTTGTCAGGCTGTACCTTTTGAAGGAGTTGATAGAATGACTGAATGAATTGGTAGGCAGGGTCAGAGACGTGGTGCTGACCTCTGATTTTCTCTGCCAGCCCCCCTCTGCCTACTGAGCCTACTATTGCCACCCCTCAGTCCAGCAGCCCCCATCTCCCCAGCGGAGCCTATCAGTCAAGCGTACAACCTGGCCTTCTACATGCAGAAGAACACATCAACACTGCTGCAGACCTACGTGAGTGACACTGGGCAGGACCAGGGGACCAAGGGACCAGGGGAGTGGGGCACAGCCCTGCGTTGGAAGTAGAATAAGCCCGGGACTCCTCCATGGGTCTGAGGGCACAGGGGCTCTGTTAACCAGAGGCACACTTGAGTGTGGTCACTGATGTTTGGGTGACCTTGGGAAGTCATCCCTCCTCTCTTGGTCCCGGCTTCTCGTCTGCAAAACGGGATGGTGAGCTTGTCTTTGCTGGCCTGTTACATGGTTCAAAGAAAGGTCTAGAAGAAAGAGCTTTACATAGTCATGGTGAGCTCCACAGCTACCCCATCACTGTGCTCACCTGAGCTAGGCCAGACTGGGTGCTCTTTCCCCTTGATCTTCTGGACTCCTCAAACAGCTCTGAGAGGCGGTATTAGAACAGATTTTACAGATGAGGAAACTGAGTCTCAGAGGGGGTTGAGAGTTTGCCTGAAGGCACTGAGCTAATAATAACTAGTAGTGCCAGAATTGAAAACAGGTCTTGGAACTCTGTGCCACGAGCTCCTAGCCATAGGAGTGAAGCTGGTAGTCCTCTGGCTAGGTCTGACCTACAGATGGTTTTTGTTTGGCTATATGGAGTTTGTTCCCATTTTAAATATGAATGCCTGTCTAAAAGAGGCACTGAGATCCTATTGGTTAAAATTCCACCTTCCACCTTAGCTCAACCTTTTTCTCAAATTTCACATCTGCCTGGTTTTCAGGCCCTGGAATTTACAACTGTTCTATACTCTGGTCCAATGTGAAGTTAAACAATCTAGATTCTAATCTCATATCATCCTGGCTAGACTTGAGCACCCGGAGCCTCAGTTTCTCCACCTGTAAAATGAGGGTGTAGGACTAAGTGACATACCAATTGGAAGATCTATCAGCATGCATTTAGGATTCTGTCTATCTTGGCTTGTGGAGAAGGATCTCAACTAAATTTAATAATGTTAATAATTACTTATTAATGATTATGATAAAACTAATAAACATAAATATAAGTAAAAAAAATCAGTGTAACTACATTGTCTATAATATACTTGGGTTGAAAATATAAAAACAGCTGGGTGGCTGGTGCTCACGCCTGTAATTCCAGCTATTTAGGAAGCAGAGATCAGGAGGATCTCGGTTCAAAACCACCCTGGGCAAATAGTCTGCAAGACTGTATCTGGAAAAAAACCCATCACAAAAAAAGAGCTGGTGGAGTGGCTCAAGGTGTAGGCCCTGAGTTCAAACCACAGTACTGCAAAAAATGTATAAAAACATGACCCTTATTGTGAATCAGAAGCTATTCTAAGTGCTTCACATATATTATTTCCTATCAGCTTCACAATAATGCTGCTTGTGGGAGTTACAGAAAAGTGATTCAGTGTTGCACTGCTGGTACATGGAGGACGACAAATTGGAGCCTAATATAGCCATTGCTCTGTGTTAGAACATCGCACCAGTTCGTTCGTGAAGGGTGGTGAATGGTGTCTGTCTCTGTCCCTCATGCAGCTCCAGTACCAGGGGAGCCCCTTCAGTGACCCTGGCTTCTCGGCCCCTGAGCTCCAGCTCAGTAGCCTGCCTCCTGCTGTAGTCTCTTTCAAGACCTGGCATGCCCTGGATGATGGGGAGCGTCTGAGCCGCGCCCAGGGAGCCTTCCTGGCCTTGACCCAGCACCTCCAGCTTGTGGGAGATGACCAGAGCAGCCTGAATCCTGGCAATCCCATCCTGCTAGCCCAGCTTGGAGCTGCAAGACTCAGGGCCCAAGGCCTGCTAAGCAATATGGCTGCCATCATGACTGCCCTGGGGCTACCCATTCCCCCAGAAGAGGACACTCTGGGTCTTGTCCCCTTTGGGTCCTCAGCCTTTGAGAGGAAATGTCGAGGTTATATTGTGACCCGGGAATATGGCCACTGGACAGACCGAGCTGTGAGGGACTTGGCTTTGCTCAAGGCCAAATATCCAGCATAGAGGAGTAGGACTTCCTGTCAGAGGTTACAACACCTCCTCTTTGACAATGGACTCTTTTCTGCTTTGCTTCTGGAATAGAGGAGCTATATCTTATTTACAGATAGGGCTTATGTGCCTTGTCTTTGGGAATATTTCCTAGAAACTAAGCCTTCATTCCTTACTGCCTGGCCCTTCTGCCCAGGTCCTATGGCCTCCCTTCCAGATCTGGGTGAGTCTCCATAAATCCTTTTTGTGGATTACCCACCCAGTGGTTACTGTTTTTCCTACTTCTGGGTTGGAAAGAAAAGTCCCTCTGAAAATACTTCACTTCTCACTCTAGGGTCTAGGGTTTCATTCCTGTAATTTTGGGGAAGTCTAGGAGCCGCCTTCCTGTCTCTGTCTACCTCACTTCCGTGTGAAGACGCAGACTTTCTGAGCAGATAGGCCTCCCTGTTTCTTGCTGGAGTTTATTTCCTCCCCTGGTCTACCGCTTTGTCTGTGGCTACTGTTCCATCAATGGAACTCCTTATGTCACATCTGTTTCCTGCTTGGGACACAGCCTCTTCCTGTTCTGGGCTGACAGATGTCATCTCTGGTCTGGACCTTTCATGAATCTATTTATACTATGCCTTTTGGGTATGTGTGTGGGAGCAGCCTGTGCCCCAAGGGTCCTGTTCTTTAGGAAGTTGTCTTCCCACTTTCAACAACAGTTAACTTTAGTTTTATTTTTAAACATTTTATTTACAAAAAAATTAATTTATTCTCAAATAAAACTTTCAAATTGTCACTTTTTTTTTTTTTTTCCCTTTCTCCACAGACCTGGCTAGGGGACTGGAGGCTGTGCAGGGATAGGGCATGGGGAAGCAAGGAAGGGAAGGACATCAAAGGGAGAGGGATGGGTGGGGTGGGTGAGTGCAGCCGGCGGGATGACCCTGGGGGAGGGTGGCTGAAATTGGTCTGGAGCAGCCTTCCCACCACAGGACCAGCAGGCACTTCTTGGTGGTGAGGACAAAGGAGGGAAGGAGAGATAAAGAGAGAGAGAGAGAGAGAGAGAGAGGAGAGAGAAAGGAGAGAGAGAGAGAGAGAGAGAGAGAGAGAGAGAGAGGAGAGAGAGAATCTCTGCGAGATGAGGCAGAAATAAGGGTGAGAAGCATACGTGCTCACACCCGCCAAAGGGAGATAGTGATGGGAAAGGCGACTCCCAGAGACAGATGAGAAAAAGAGACAGAGGAAAAGCTGAAAACGATGGGCACAAGGAAGTCCCCTGCGGAGACAGGAGGCCCAGAAAGAGATGGAGGAGGACACAAAGCACAGAGCGGTAGGGGCAATCCAAGGACACACGCTGAGAGCGATGGAGACAGACCGAGAGGAGGCGACAGCCCGCCGCGCTCAGGCGGGGCCGCCGGGCACCAGCTGGCCCAGGTCGCCCTCAGTGCGGCTCACCCACTCGCCGTAGAGGCCGCACACGCGGAGCCCCAGCACCTTGGCCGAGAAGCCCCCCGGGGCGGCGGGGGCGGCGGCGGGGACGGCGGGCTCTGCACGGGGCCCGCGGGTCGCGGCTCCCAGCGCGGCCAGCACCGTCTCCACCGCGGCGCCCAGGGCCCGGGCCTGGCGCGCCGCGTCCTCCAGGCGCCGTAGCAGGCGCGGCGCGCGCGGGTTCAGCTCGGCCTGGCGGCGGCGCACGCCATCCAGCAGCGGGGGCAGCGCGGCCAGTGCCGCCGCGTCCAGCCGCAGCCGCTCGGACACCGGCAGCCCCGCGTGGCCCGGGGCCGGGGCGCTCAGGCCCGCCACCGGCAGCCGCGGCGGCGAGAAGCCTGGCAGCCCGAAGGGCTCTCCCTGGTGCTGCACCTGCGGAGACACGGCCGCGGGTCAGCAGGGATCTGGGGACGAGGTCGCTGCGGGGCTTGTACTCTCTTCACAGAGCCCTCCACCCACCTCCTAAGGCCTCTGTTTCCTCATCATTCCTAACAGGGTTGCTGTGTTTGAGATAAAACAAAAACGAATGGGCTTTGCACTCCAGTTTCTCTGTTAGCATGTCTCTAATGGCGCACTAACAGCAACACCAACCTCAGAAGGTAGAGATGAGCATATAAAGTGCTTAAGACAGGCGCTGATCCCAAGGAAGGGCTCAATACATATTAGCACTTTTAGCCGGGCACCGGTGGCTCAGCCTGTAATCCTAGCTATTCAGAAGGTAGAGATCAGGCGGATCAGCCAGAGAAATAGTTCACGAGACCCTATCTCCAAAAAACCTCATCACAAAAAAAGAGCTGGTGAAGTGGTTCAAGGTATAGGCCCTGAGTTCAAACCCCAGTACCGGAAAAAAAAAAAAAAAAAAAAGCTCTTTTATTAATGTTATCTCACAGAGCCGGTTTCAAATCCTGTCTCTGCCAATTACTAGCTGTGCCTCTTGCAAACCATTTCCCGTCTCCCAGTTTCACTTTCATCACATGTAAAAGAATGTCCTGTCTTTTTGCCAGGGGTCTTGAGATCATAAAAGATGGTGTAGGCACCCAGTGGATTTCACTTCCTCTTCCCATCCTCCCCAACCTACATTGGGAAGGCGCTCAATGGATAATTGTTATATGAATAAACAATGAAAGATAAGGGTGATTTGTAATTTGTCAAATGCTATGAGCTGTAAGAATAACATTTCTCCTTTGCATTCTTCAGGCAATGTGTTTGGTGCTTTAAACACACTGTCTTCCCAATAATGGGCGTGATAATGATGGCTTTGTAAATAAGAAAATTGGCTCTAGGTTAGCCATGCAGGAAGTAGCACAACTGGAATTTGAACCAAAGTTGGTGAGATTCCAGAGCAAGTTGTGTTACCCCACCATTTACTGTTATTATTGCTACATTATTATTTTTAATGCTATCATTTCTGCCCGAACTTGCAACAAGTTGGTAGGTCTACAGTTTGATTCAAAACTAACCCCCCTCCAATACTTGAGGGTAATTTGGGGAAAAGATTCCTTGGGCAGGACAGGGTCCTTAGCCCAATGAAAGATCTTGGTAGATCCCTCTCCTCTGTAAAAGTCCTCTTGTGAATAGAATTTTTGCCCCAAATTGAAATCCTTTCTTGGTCTCTCTGAATGTCCCAGGTAGAAGAGTTCACAGTTCATCTTGTTCAGCTGCCTCCTTTGATAGCCTGTGGAGGTGAGGTGACAAGATTACAGAGCCTAGAATCTAAGTTTCCTGATGCCCAGACCAGAGTTCTCTTGATTTTCTGATTTCCAACATCCAAGAGGGAGCCTCCAAGCAGAGGCAGTCAGAGAGTGTCATTTGGGTCACTCCAATTTTCTTTTTTTGTCATTTGGGTCTTCCTCCAATTTGCTATACAGCCAGGAGCAAGTTACTGTCCCTTTCAGGAGACTTGATTTCCACAGCTGGGAATTTGAGAAAATGTGTGACAGAGACTTCATGATCTGGGCTTCCCCATCCGCCACCCCTGGCACCACGGCCCTCATCCCACTCACATATTCCTGGAGCAGCTGCTCAGCGTATCTGGTGAGGAGGCGGGCAAGGCTGTGTGTCTGACGGATCTTGGCCTCCAAGTGGGGAAGGAGTGAGATTGAGGACTCAGCCTGGGGGTCTTCTGGTGGGAAAGGGGGGAGGAATGATGGTGACCCACACCATGTTCCTTGACCACATCTCCCAGGCCAGTTCTTCCTGCCTGAACCCAAAGGCTCTGTTCTGGATTGTCCAGCATTCAAGTCAGGCACAATCTGACCCATTCAAATGGGGGAAATGAAGCGCCAGACCTTTTTAAAGCACTTGTTCTACCTGAAATGTGTTCCTTGTTCCCAAATCACTGTTGAAATCCCATTAAAGCCAAATTAAAATACTGCCACCTTAGTGCAGTTTCTAGATTCCCCCTTCACTTAAATGAACGTCTTAGCTGGGCGCTACTCAGGAGGCAGGGATCAGGTGAATCGCAGTTTGAAGCAAAATAGTTCGCAAGACCCTATCTCGAAAAAAAAACATCACAAAAAAGGGCTGGTGGAATGGCTCAAGGTGTAGGACCTGGGTTCAAACCCTAGTGCCGCAAAATAAATAAATGCACGTCTTCATTCGGCTTAAGGCTATTTGTTGATACTTCCAAGGTAGCTCTTTTACCTGTGTGTATTTGCCTTAACCTAGGACCTTTTTAAGGATTTGTCACATATCTCTGTACCTCTGTGACTGTTGGTGGAATTTAGCATCACTCAAGCATACAATTTCAAACTGGGACTGCTTTTAAAGCCCTTTTACAGATAGACTGAAATTCCATCCCTTCCCTGATGAGCTTTCTATGCAAGACTCAAGAAGGGTTGCATCAAAGAAGCCGGCCTTCCTAAACACAAGCCAGAGGGTGGAGCCTCAAAAGGACTACATTTTCCGAGGCGCAGAGCGCGGGTACCCAGTGCATGCTGGACAATGTAGTCCTGGCCCGACAACTCCAGCTCCGCCCCCGCCTGAGTCTCCCACCTTCAGTCCCAATCCTGAAGTCTCCAGGACTTTCTCCTCCCGTTGTCACTCACTAGTTCCTGTGGTTCAAAGTCGGCCTTCCCTAACTCTACCCACTCCCTCCGGCCTCCAGCTCTGATTCTTTCCCAGTGCTCTGAGAGGACCTCGAAATCCTGCCCGGTCCCGACCCCGAGGCCTCCCTCCTGGTGTACTCACCGGCGTCATCGGTGACCTAACCCTGAGTCCAAGCCCCTGAAGCTGCAGCCCCAGGTTTCTAAACCGTCGCGCCTGCCCTTTCTTCCAACTCACCCGCTTGTTACCTGACACCGGAGCCTGTTCAACCCCCCCCTCACCGACCGCTCCCCTCCCGGCCCAAGGGGGTGTCAGAGACCGAGACCCCACCTTCCAACCCTTCTAACTTGTACTCCCCTCGGGGACCCAGGATCGGACTCTTCGCCCCTTACCCAGACTTCCCTCCCTCTGGCTCATGCTGGCCCCTGGCTGATCCCGGCTCCCTCCACACCCCCCTTCCGAGGGGGGGAGAAAGGGGAAAGGGGTAGGGGCGTGGCCCTGGAGCAGCCAATCATAGCCCAGACCCCAAACATTTCTCCCCCCCTCAACCTCCCCACTACTTCCAGGCAAGATTCCTTGGCCCTGAGCTCAGTGACCCGCCAGCTCCGCCTAGACAGGGAAGGGGCTGGAGTCGGGGAGGCAGGTGAATGGCACCTCGGGCTTGGAAGACTGCTTGTCCTGCAGGGAGCAAGAGGCTCAGACTCCACTTGAGGCATGTCTTGATACCGGGGCTGCTGTCTGGGGAAACCTGGGAGACTGGAGAGGGAAGCTGCACCGCTGGCAGGACTGAATGTGCAGGCCCTCCCTCCTGACCTGGGGTGGGGTGGGAGACACACGGAGGATATAACAGGTGCAACTGAAGTCAAGACTTTCGGCAGGGGTCACAACTACCCACTTACCAACAGTGAATATTCATTGATGCCAAGCACTGTCCTAGAGCTATATATATACATTAACTTCCGTATTACAGAGGATGAAATAAGACACAAGTAACTTGTCCAAGATCACACAGTTGGCTGTGACAGAGCTGGGATTTTACCTCCAAACTTTGGCTCCAGAAATACTGTCATAGCCATCCTCTCAATTCTTAACTCTTCTGGATATGATCACATCAAAACCTCACGGACCCGGCTTTGAGACACACACAGCATAGCAAAATACACTCAGACACCTTTGTATCTACTGATTGGCTAGTCTCAAAATTAACCAGGACACATTAATTTCTTTTAAGAAAACTTTTAACTGAACTATAATACACATATGGAAAGGTGCATATATCATCAGCATACACCGTGATTGATTTTCACAAAATAAATATGATTAAGCACCAGATTAAAAGCAGAACACAACCACCTCCGGACCCCCCCCCCCACACCTTTCTTTTCCCTTCCAGTCCCAAGGGTGACCACTATCCTGACTTCTCACACCATAAATTCAATTGGTCTGTTTTTGAGCTTCATATAAACAGAATCTTCTAATGTGTACTGTTGTAGGTGGCTGCTTTTACTTAGGATTTGCTCATGAGACTGTCCCCGTGTTGGATATAGCAGGATATTGGTCATTCTGGTTGCTATGACTATCTCCACGGTATAAACTGGTTGTAATTCATTGTCTACTCTCGTTGATGTGTTGTTTCCACTATTGTGAACACTACTATGAACATTCCAGTACATATATCTTGGTGCTCATACATATGCATTTCTGTTAGGTGTTGGCAACCTTTGAGTGGAATTGCACTATGAAAACTGCTAGTTTTGCAAAGTGTCTCTATCAAATTATACTACCCAGAGAGGTCCAGGGGCCCTACTTCCTCTCTTACATTTGGTATGGTCTGTCTTTTTCACTTTGGCCATTCTTGCTGGGGAGACCCATTGATACTTGCAGCGTCTGGCACGTACTTGGCACTAGTTAATAGACTGCTGAATGAATAAGTGAATGAATGAATTAATGAGTTGGGCAGCATAGAATCGGACGTCCTGGCGAGGGCGGAAGCGCGCACGCACACACACGCGCGCGCGCACACTCAGAGCTTTTTTCAGGAACGCCCACCCGCAGCGGACGCACACCCGGACACAGACCCTCTCGTGCACCCCGCGCCCACGTGGTCTGAACGCACAGCCTTGGCCTGTCGCGCGCGTCCAGCCGCGGAGCTGCCCCCCCACACCCTGCCCAGCTCTCCCTCTCCACCGTGGACAGGGGGCGCTGCGGTCCCGGTACCCCGAGGGGGCGGGCCCCGGGCGGGGCGGGGCTGGCCAGGCTTCCAGGCCTGGGCTCTGGCCGCCCGCGCCGCCCGGCTGCTCCGGCGACGGGCCGGGGCGGGGCGCGGCGGCAGGAAGCGGGGCGGGGACTCGTGGAGGCGTTGGGAGCGAGGGAGGGCGCGGCCAACTCCCGCAGGGACCGCAGGCCGAGAGCGCGGCGCTCGGGCCTGGCGCCGAGCCTGAGCCCGCCGACGGACGCGGCCCCGCCGCGGGCTCGGTCCCGGCCCCAGCCCCGCCAGCATGGCCGGCCGGACGGTACGGGCCGAGACCCGGAGCCGGGCCAAGGATGACATCAAGAAGGTGATGGCGACCATCGAGAAGGTCCGGAGATGGTGAGCGCTGCCCCGGGGTCAGGGGCGGGACATGGAGGGGCCACCCCTTCGAACGCGTCTACCCTTCCTTGCCGCCGAGGCCGCAGGTGGTAGGTGTGCCCCTGTTCACTGGCCGTGCGCTGGACCTACAGGGGTCTGTCTCGCTTCCCCTGGCTGTTCTCGGGGTTTACAAAGCGCGGTCCCCAGCTATGCCCTCGCAGAGCGGGAGCCCTCACCTATGCCCCGCCCCCGATCTTTGACACTCCTCCCGCAAGCGTGCCCGCGGTCTTTTCTGTTGGGGTCCGCAGCCAGGCCAGCAGCAGTGCCCCCATGGGCGTCCCAGAGGTCTGTAGAGCCATGGTCCCAGTCTGTCCTCTCTCTAGAGGCGCGCCATCTGTGCTCTGGGGTTTGCAGGGCTATCTTTCTCAAACTATGCCCTGTTGTCGATGTTGTCCCTGCCCCCGTGCATCTCCACGGGCGCTCCAGCTCTGGGGGTTGGGCTCTCCCCTCAAGCTTCTCTGACCCGGCCCCCTCTCTCAGGGAGAAGCGCTGGGTGACTGTGGGCGACACTTCTCTTCGAATCTTCAAGTGGGTGCCAGTGGTGGACCCCCAGGAGGAGGTAAGCAAGCCCCGCCCCCATCAGGCCTGCATCTGCCCATCCTCAGTCGAGCCCCCTCCCCACCGTGGCCTCTAATTCCAGTCCAGGCTCTGAGACCCAAGTTCCATTCTTACCAACTCCTCTCCTATCCCTTTTTCCTGCTCCACTGGGTTAGTTCAAGATTTAACCCAGCATACACAACCTCTGTCACCTCAGGCATCGCCTTTGGCTTCTCTGTGCCTCAGTTTCCTTATTTTTTAAAAATTTATTAGCTTATCATAGTTGTAATGGGGGTACACTGTGACATTTATAAAAGTGTTTACAATATATCTTAGTTAGAGTCACCTCCTCCATCAGTTTCTTATTTGTACAGAGGGGGTTTGCAAAAACTAACTTCCTAGAAAGATGCCTCTCACCTTATCCTTTTAACTCCCAGGAGCGACGGCGGGCAGGCGGTGGCACAGAGAGATCCCGTGGCAGGGAGAGGCGGGGCAGGGGCGCCAGTCCCCGGGCGGGAGGCCCTCTTATCCTGCTGGACCTCAATGGTATGTGGGGATCCCGGAACTCGGGTTTGTGGGAATTGGAGGATGGCATGGGGGGCTCAGACCAACCCTCTTGGATTTTGCTCCCACAGATGAGAACAGCAATCAGAGTTTTCATTCAGAAGGTTCCCTGCAAAAGGGCACAGAGCCCAGCCCTGGGGGCACCCCACAGCCCAGTCGCCCTGCATCACCTGCTGGACCTCCAGAAGGGGTCACTGAGGAGGCTCAGCCCCCACAGCTGGGCCAAGAGCGAGGTAGGACCCTGTGCCTCCCAGGGGCTCTCTCCTTTGAATCCTGCCCTTTCCAGAGTGGAACCAGCCAGGTACCCCTATACCTGCCCCACCTGCTGCCTCCGTGGGTCTTCCTGACCCCTGGGGAATTGCCTTTAGCAACTGTCTGTATCATCCTCTGGCTTCTTAGGATCTGAGGCTGACACATCACTGCCTAAGATTTTTGTGTATGTTTATTTCTTTGCTACATTACTTCCTTTTCCCCATTCTCATGTCAGCCTCCTGAATGTTTAGGCCCATTACTGTATCCTCAGAATACTATGGGACACATAATAGGTGCTTAGTACGTATTTGTTGAGGTAATAAATAATAGTGATAATAACAGGAATAATAACCATGGATATAATAACAGCTAATATTTGTTGAGCCCCTTCTTTGTCCCAGGAACAATTCTTATGGGTTTGCTCATTTGATCTTAACTACAACCTTATGGGGGTGATGAGCCTGTTATGATGCCTATTTATACACAAGGAGACCAAGATCCAGAGAGGTTAAGAAAGCTGCCAAAAATCACACAGCTAGGGAGCCAGCATCCTGGGCCTGAGTGCTCTTCAGCTCCTCTGTCTTTCATGCAGTCAGCCCTGTTTGGTCAGTACACTTCCCAAATGCATCTGTCTGCCCTCCTCTGCCTCCCCAGGTCTTGCTAGTGCCTGCTCCGGCCTCCTCACTGGTCTCCAGTCACCTCTACAGGGCTGCCACGAAAAAGTTTGTCTAAAGCATACTTTTGACAGGGTCATATGCCTGCTTCTGGTCCTTCCTGGTGCTCCTTGTGAACACCTGGGGCCTTCATGAATTGCTCCCTGCTGGCGTCATTAGTCTCTGTCAAGATGATCATGACATAAGCTGAGGGGCCAGATCTAGGTGGCACCCAGCACATGCACACCTTTGCTAATCTAAAAATGATAGGGCTGGGCTGGCGCGCAGGAATAGAGAATCACCTAGCATGCATGAGGCCCTGCCTTCCACCCCCAGCCCTGTAAAATAAAAAAATAGTAAGTAATGATTAATAGCATGTATTGAGCACATGCTATGTGCTAGATACAGGGCTTTGCCTGTATTACCTCACTTACTCCTCCTAGCAGTCTCATGTGTTACTGTCATCATTCACACTTTGCAGAAGGGTAAACTGAGGCCCAGAGAAATTAAGTACATTGCACAAGGTCAGGATTTGAACTTGAAGAGTTCAAAGGCAGAGTCTGCTTACTAGGCAAGTGTCCCTCTACCTAAATTCTGTTCTGCCTCCCTGTTTGTCTACCTGATCAAAACCAACTTATGTTTCAAATTCCACATCTTCCTTCCTCTGTTCCCTGGATGGGCCCAGCTCCCTCCTCTGGCTCCTTGCTGTGTGATTGGTGCCTGCCTATGTTTATTTTCTCCTCTGTGCTTTTGGCACAGAGTGGCTGCTCAGGGGGTGTCCTTTCACTTGCTGTTCCAGACCCTGGGGGCACACCTGCAGGTGGCACTGATGACCCTCCAATGCTGACCAAGGAGGAGCCTGTTCCAGAATTACTGGAAGCCGAGGTGAGAGAGGCCAGAAGGCTGAACTCCCAGGAGTTGGAGGGAATGGGGGCTTTGGGCACTGGGAGGCTGAGCCTGAGGTCCAGGAGGGAGATATGGACCCAGGAACCTGCTAAAGGCTTAGAGGTCAGATTCTTGGGACTGAAAAAGAGTGTTTTAGAGACAAAATCCAGAGGGCTGGATCAGGGCTGATTAGAAGACCATTAAAAGCCTGAAATGATCATGGTAATCCTCCATGTATTTAAAAATAAAAATCCTAGGTTGGGGGTGTGGCTCAGTGGTAGAGTGCGTGCTCAGCATGCACGAGGCCCTGGGTTCAATCCCCAGCACTGCACATACATAGAAAAAAAATCCTAAACTAAAATTAGCTTAAGAAATCCCCTCATAAACTTGACTTTCCTCACAAGGGCTGCCTTGATGCACTTTTCAGAAAGATCAAATTCTTTCAGTGGCAACAACAGTGTCACCATTGTTTTCAGTTTCCTTTTTGATCTGCATCGTGGCCACTTGGCCCTGGCTAGACTCCTGGGTCCTAGGGAGTGGCGTGGAGGCTGGACAAGGAGAGGCTAGGAGGCTGCACTCCTGGGTTTGGGTGGAGCTCACGCCTGTCCGCCCTTCCTCTCCAGGCCCCCGAAGCTTACCCCGTCTTTGAGCCAGTGCCACCTGTCCCCGAGGCAGCCCAAGGTGACACAGAGGACTCGGAGGGCGCCCCCCCACTCAAGCGCATCTGCCCAAATGCCCCTGACCCCTGAGAAGCCGGCCTGCCTGTCCTGCCGCCCCAGGGGCTCCTTTGACTTTTTACAAATAAAGACCCTTTTGTAATTTTGTGTCCTGTCATTTCCCCGTCAGGGCTGGGGAGGGTCTTTGGAGACAGTTTTGTCTCATGCTCCATTCCTCAGATGCATGCGATCACTAGGCTCTGAGAGGACCTTCCTATAGTCACACCATGGTCACGTGCAGTGGGGGCTCGAGCCAGGACCCTTCCTCCCCAGCACTCCCCAACCTACCCTTATTTTACTTTCTCTCACCTTCCCCACTCTGCAAATTCCAGGACTCCTCTTCCTGTTCAGCCCTCCTTTGCGCTCAGCAACTGTCAACAGCGAGGCCTGTGATTCCCATCTCCCTCACAGGAACATAGTCCCAGAGGGACGTGGGCTGGGATGACCCCGCTGCTTTCCTGCCCTCAGGAAGCTATGGCCTTGTGCCTCGTGCCCCTCTGAGTCAGTCTCTGCCTGCAATCCATGGCCCACACATCTGCCGGAGTCCTTTTACCTGGCTCCATCTCCACGTTCTCCTAGAAGCCTTCCCTGGCTCTAGGCTCAGTGAGAGTTCCCTTCTTTGACCTCCCACACACAACTCTTTGAGACTTTCTTCTTTTCTGGGTGTGTGTGTCTGTTCTGTCCACTAGGCTGTAGGCTCCTAGAGGATAGAACTGGGTCCCCAGCCTTTTCTAGCTCAACACTGGGAACAGAGCAGTCACAGCAACTGCTTTGTGAATGAATGAATAAACAAATGGGCTGGTGTTATCCAGGAAGACTTCCCTGAGGAGGTGGCATGTGAGCTGAGCTCTGAGACATGGCCCTCAGTGTAATAGGTCTAAAGTTAGAAGCTCTGGTTCAAGTCCTGACTCTCTCACTCACTGTCTGTGTGGCTCTAGGCAGGCTGTTTCTACCCTCTGAGCCTTGGTTTGTTCATCTGAGCAATGGGGACAACAACTAGGCCTCACCTGCCCCGGTGTTTTATGGGAAACTTGAAATCACATAAGTTCTCCTCACTCTGCGTCTGCAAGGGGCAGGTGTATTAGCCCTGTTTTTATTTTTTAACAAAGGAAGAAACAGGATCAGAGAGGACCAAAGTGGAACTTTAAAGAACCATTAAAAAAAGGGAGTTTCCTGTAGTAATAGGGGAGCCCCGGGAGCAGGCATGCAGTGTGTGACGTATTTGTTCTTTTTTTTTTTAATTCATTTATTCACATTGTTTGGGTCATTTCTCCCCCCTGCCTCCCGCCCCCAACCTCTCCCCCTCCCACCCCCACCCCCCCACCGACGTATTTGTTCTTGTTGCTGTTGTAACACATTACCACAAACTTAATGGCTTAAAGCTACACAAATTTACTATCTTACAGTTCTATAGCTCAAAAGTCTAAAATTAGTCTCACTGAGGTAAAGTCAAGGTATGGACAGGGCTGGTTCCTACCACGGGCTGTTTCCTTGCCTCTTCCAGGGTCAAGAAGCTGCTTGCAAGTCCTTGGCTTGTGGCCCCCTCCTTCCGTCTTTAGATCCAACAGCAGAGCATCATCTAGTCTCTCTGCTTCCATCGCCACATTTCCCCTGCCCCCTGCTTCCTCCTGTAAGGCCCCTTGTGAGGACATTGGCCCACATGGATAGTCCAGGACCCTCTCCCTCTCAAGATCATGAATTTAAATCCATCTGCAAAATCCCATTGCCATGTGAAGTAACACTCATAGGTTCTGAGGATTAGGATGTGGACATCTCTGAAGGGCTGTTCCTCAGCCTCCCAGCCATGCTCTGGATGTGTGAGTCATCCCATTTTCCTCTTCGGTGACCTCATGAAATGTTGCGAGTGCTCTGTAAACTGTCAGATGCCCTGTATGAGTTAGTGGTACTGTGTTAAAGCCCAGAATTCAGGTTCTGAGACTTGCATTCATGTGCTACCTGACCTTGAGCAAGTGACTTAATCTCTGTTTTCATCCACCTCATTTTCTCATCTGTAAAATGGGGACAGTGGTAGCATCATCCTGGTGATGAGGCCATCTGAAGGACTGAATGAAGCTATACGTGGACAGAGGGCCATGGGATCAGCACGTAGTAAGGACTGCTCAATAAATGGTGGTTGATTTTCCTCTTACCTCATTTACAGATTGAGGGTCCTGAGATGTGGGGGAGAGCCAGTGACCTGCCTAGCAGTGAGGCTGGGGAGACTCTTGGCTCTGGATGGGGTGTCCACTTCTGAGCAACCTTGACAAGCTAAGGATTGAGTCTCTGCCTGTCCCTCTCCTGGTCACAGGTCCTGTTCCTAAGCCAGGCCTGCCCCTAACTTGTCTATAGACTACTTCTTGACCTGGTCTACAGTGGTCACAGCTCTGATTCATCACCTGCTGGGCCTTCCCCACACCTTCCCACATCCACAGCTTCTGGAAATCTTCCCCTGTAGTTCCCAGACCCTAGCCTCCGATACTCTCCTCCCCCGCTCTGTGCCCCATATATTTTTGGTCTTCCTCTTCCTCATCCTTAATGTCTGTGGCCCTAGCCTAACTCTTGTCTTCATGAATGGTCTCCTGAGGCCTCCCACCTACCCTGTGTGTTAATGGTTCCTGATTCCTTGCCTGCAGATTCTGTCCCTGAACTCCAGACTCAAAGAGCCAAATGGCTGTGTGCATGTCCATTGGAATATTCCACGGGCCCTTCAGCCCATCTCCATTGTCTCTGAATAGCCCCTTCCCTGAGTCTCTGTCCTAAATAATTTTCCAGGAGGCCCCTTTCTCCAGGGCCAAAATGCTATACTTTCTTCAGGTGGCAATACAACCTTTGTATCAGCTTCCTGGCAGTTTCCTGCCTCACTGCTGGCCATCTTCAGTCAGGCTCCCCCACAACAGGCAGCCCTTCACAAGCCCACATCTGACCCTTTGCTGCCCAGCCAAGCTTCCCACACCCCCTTTACCTGCATGCCTGCCCATCTGCTTCCTCTGCCTACCACTAGTCACTCTGAGCTGCTTAGAACTGCTCTACCTGCACCCCACATGCCGGGTCTCACCTTCCCAGCCTTGTTCATGCTGTTTGCTCTCCCAGGAGTGCCCGCCTTCTCATCTCCTTTCACGCGGTTCGTGCCTTCTTTCTTGCCTTTCTCTCTTGCCCCTCCACCTGCTCTGCCGTGTTGTGCATGTCGTGCTGGGTGCTGCCTCACAGTGGTCTCTGTCCACCGCAGTCTCAGCTCCAGTGGGCAAGCTCTACAGGACAACAGAAGAGTCCTTGAAACAGGGCCCCATAGTTATCGTGTACTTAGTGTTCGCTGGGCACTGTTCTAGACCCTAGAAATACAACATATACAAACAGAATTCCTGCTTGTGGAGCACCATGGCTCACACCTATAATCCCAGCTACTCTGGAGTTGGAGATGGGGAGGATTGCAGTTCCAAGCTAGCCTGGGCAAAAGGTTATCGAGACCCCCTCTCAAACAAGTTGGGTGTGGTGGCTCACACCTGTAATCCCAGCTATGTGGGCAGCATACAAAGTAGGGTCCAGGTCTAAGCTGGCCAAGGCAAAAGGCATAAAAGCTATCTGAAAAAATAACTAAAGCACAAAGGGCTGGGGTATGTGTGTGGCTCAGATGGTAGAGCCCTTGCCTACCAAGCCTAAGGCCCTGAGTTAAGAAACACTAGTACCAGCCAGTCATTGGCTACTCTTGTAATCCTAGCTACTTGGGAGATTGGAGAGGATCATTATTCAATGCCAGCCCAGGTAAAAAGTTAGTAATACCCTACCTTAACCAATAAAAGGCTGGGTGTGCTGGCTCACACCAATAGGCCATGTCAGAAGTGAGACAAAAATAGGATCTCGGTCCAGGTCAGCCCTGGCAAAAATATGAGACCCTATTTGAAAAATAACTAAAGCAAAAAAGGGCCACAGGGCCCTTTTGAGCCGTGGCTCAAGTGGTAGAGCATCTGCTGAGCAAATATACAGCCTGAGTTCAAACCTCAGCAAACACACCACACCAAGAAAAAGAAAAAAAATAATTCCTGCCTTCCCTCTTGGAGCATGTCTTCTGTTCTCAGCAAATCTGGGCATGGTAAGAAGTCAGAAGTACAATCATGGTTGATGAAAGATGTAATACTTTGTGAGAAGTGCATCTGTACAGTTTCATCACTGAGTGTCATCATGGAGCATACTAACATAAACTAAAATGTCCATCATGCCCCTGGGGTATACTCTTAGGAGACCACCATCAAATATGCATCTTGTTCACTGAAACATGGGTGTGTGGCA